TCGCTGATGAGATAATGGTCTCCTTTGATGTGGTTTCTTTGTTCACTTCCATACCATTAGATTTCGCAAGGCAATGCACAGATGAACTCCTAAAGTCCTATGACACGGATGTTCCCCCATCTGCCTTACTTGAACTTATGGACCTTTGTTTAGAAACCAATTTTTCGTTCGATCACCAATATTATCAACAACTAAAAGGTGCTCCAATGGGATCACTCATATCTGGCTTTCTTGCCGAGGTGACAATGCAGAAATTGGAATGGTGGCTCTTCCATAAGTTAACCCTAAGTTATGGGTACGATATGTAGACGGCACGTTTGTCGTCGTTAAAACGGACCAACTAGAAATACTCCACAACACAATCAATTCAACCGTTCCGGGAATTAAATTCACGTTGGAAAAAGAACTTGACAATAAACTACCATTTCTAGATGTTCTCGTACAGCGTAAGACTGACGGAACATTACACACCTCCGTTTATCGCATCGCAAAGAAACATATGCAGAAATAATTCTTTACTATGAGAGCAACAGTCCGATCTCTCACAAGCGGAGTACTGTCAAAAGTCTGATACATAGAGCAAAAACACATTGCTCTGATGAAGAAAGCTACAAAGTTGAACTAAACTACCTATTTGAATTATTTTCCCAGAGCGGATACCCGAGAGATTTCGTACGTCGATGCATGAAACAACAAGAGATAAAAACAAAGGAACTAGATAGTTCCAATCAAGCGCCCAAAGCAAACACTTGGCGAATCCTTCCTTACACCAGAAATGTGTCTGAACTTGTTGAAAGACACTTGAGGAAACACCAGATAAAAGTGGCGCACAAGCCGACGACTACTTTACGCACCCAGCTTGTACACCCTACGGATAGGGTTGGCAATCTCGATAAAAAAGAAGTCGTCTATAAGATCCCATGCGATGCCTGTGATGCCGTATATTGTGGCCAAACGGGAAAATTTGCCTCTACACGCATCTACGAGCATCAACCTGATGCCCTCCCCTCCCATTGATATTGTTGGTCAAAAATCCGGTCATTTGGTATGTGGACCAGGGTGTGTGGAGTGGAGCGCCAAGGCACGGGTCCAGACGTGCCTACCACCTGCGCCCTCACGCGCCTCCGGTTCTCTTAACTCTGGCTTGACACCGGGTCCAGGTGGGCGAGGAGGAGAGAGTGTGGTAGATGCTGCACAAGTCTACTATCACTATAAATTAATTCTCGCACAAGTCACTGTCCCTGCTCTCACCTTGCTGTCTAGCACACGGCGGCCATAGTCGAAATCGATGGTCGAACTGTCGGAATGGAGGGCTCACGCTACTGGTGTACAGCTGAGGATTCGTGCCCTGTCTGCTTTAAGTGTGAAACCCGAAGTGAGGTGACGCTTGAGTCAGTACAGCCTGGATCCGATTTACTTTACGTTACTACATACCTTCATGTTTACTGCTGGAAGTTCCATACGACGCCTAATCAAGCTAATGCCTACTTGTCATTGCTTCTGTAAGTTCGGGTCATTTTTTTCCAAACCTCGACATATTCCTGTGGTCCAGCAAATTTACAGGTGTAGCTAGTGTCCAGCATAAATCAGACGACAGAGAGAGAGAGGCAGGTTAGTCACAATGTCCCACTATCGGCTCATGATGTTGACACCACTTCGCCCATTCAGGGAATACCTGGCCCAAGTAATTCAATGTACGTTTACCATATTCAGAGGTGAACACGGTGTCTGACTGTTTAAGACATCCGTCAGCTCCGCAATCAACATGAATCAGCGCGCGGGTGACCACCGATGTTCATGACTTACACTGGGTGATTCGTTACTTCCAACCTGTACTAATGGTTCATGGGTTGGTCCGTGGACACGTTTAAAGGAGACTTATAGAAAATCAATTCTTCCTGACATACACATGGACCCAGAATATTCACTCTGGTCCGTATTTTTCCTTACCAGAGCTCGCATTGACTGTGGCACCAAATGATTGGCATTGAAGTTCCAAACATTAGTGAAGTATTTCCAGCTCGCCGCTTGCAACAATGTAGAACATAAGGTCAGCGTAGAAGCTCACAAATAGGATGTGCACAAGTACATATCCGGTATCCCAGCCGTTATTTCATCGTCTAATGCAACCAGAGTCACAAGCCGACATCGTGGACTAACTCCGCCTCAGGAATGACTTGATCTTTCAGTAATTGCTCTGACTAAACCAGCGGTTCTCGGCGGCAGGGGCATCAGATAACGGTTCTGCACGGAATGCATCCCCATTCTGGTGTTTTCCATCTTCTTCGACTATTCGGGACCTGATCTACTGCTTGTGGGCAGCTGAAAAATACACAAAGTTCGACGTTGTAGCTCGTTTTGCACAGATTCTGTGAAGCGGCATACAAAAAAGAGCTTGGCAATGAGCTATAAATTGTTCATATAACGCAAAGATTGCTGATTAACAGAGTCCACAGTTGATGTAAGATGCCAGTTAAAAGCTGATTGGCTGTTCATTGTGTCAGTCATTAAACTATTCATCGAAAATCGTATCAGTGAAAGTGATGTCGTCATCAAAGGTGGCCTTATGACATGCGATCCGTTAGAACCTCAAATGGCGCGCTAGTATACCGTTATAAGTAGGAGAGAAATTGTGCTGCCTGTGCGACTGCAGTGTTCGGGCATCTGTGACCAGTATAAGCTGTGGTGAGGTACCGGTTAACTTACCTTTTGACAATTATGTCCCGTTTTATTTACCCGAAATGCTTGTTTAAATGTGACGGAAAAGAACACACCTGTACAACCCGCCTTGCCAGTGTGCTTCGCTGTCGTCCACTGTTGTCACTTTACTTAACGTTCAAAATCTCTATATTATTCACTGCTCAGTTTTAATTGCTGCCTTTAAGGCTAGGGGTTCGTGAGATATAACTCGTCAGTTCGTGAGAACACTATCATTTACTTCATTGGTGACTCCCGACGTTAACGCAGACTTTATACCTTTCTGTGTGTTACCGAATAACATATAACGAACTATATGTATTTGAATGTTTATTCCATTTACATTTACTTTCCTCACGAATTCTGATATTTTCCATCTCTGTCTTATCATGTCTTACTCCAACCAACAACTTGATGCCCCCGCCCAGTCCCTTCACGCCATCAATTTTACCTTGCATGAATTCTGGCAACATGCTCCAGAACTTTACTTCATCCGCATAGAATCAGCCTTTTATTCTGCCAACGTTACCAAGGAGCTGGCGAAATACCACAAACTTGTTGAGGTCCTCCCCCCTAGTGCCATCTCTCAAGTTCATTCCTTGCTAGCTAATCCTCCTGCAGATGCTCCTTACTCCACGTTAAAGGCGGAAATCCTCCGACTTAATTCCGTGTCCGACCGACAGCCGTATCACCAGCTAATTAAGGAGGAGTCACTGGGTGACCGGAAGCCCTCAGAGCTTCTACGTCGGATGCGTTCTCTCCTTGGAGACATGCAAGTTGATGACAAATTTGTCAAAGAGACGTTTCTAGAGTCTCAGCCTGCAGATGTTTAAACGATCCTAACGTCCGGCTCTCAAGATCCCACGGTTTCACAACTGGCTGAAATGGCGGATTGAATGATAGAGGTGCAGCGGCTCCAGTCGCCTTCCGTTGCCAGATCTCCACATCCTCATCGACAGTGAATGAGACGGCCTCCCTTAAAAAACATCTTGCTCGCCTTACTTCTAGTCGTTCACGCGGCTGTCGTCGTTCACGTTCGCTACCTCGAACTGCCGATACTTGTTGGTATCACTAATTTCGGCGTAAAGGCCCGTCGCTGTTCCACACCCTGCTCTTTTAAGCCGAAACAGGGAAACCAGTCAGCCAGAGAATAGATGCGACCGTTTTCTCTGGCTCTTCCGGCTCTGGTCGTACCTTCTATGTTTGTGACGCTGATCGTCGTTTCCCTAGCCCTGGTCTTCACCTCCAAGCTGCCAACTGTTCCCCCATTCCCACTTTTGGCAGTCTGTCCCTCACCCTGAACATTGGCCTTCGTCCGTAATTCACCTGGATCTTTGTGATTGCTGATGTCCCTCATGCGATCCTCGGCTCGGACTTTCTTGCCGAGTTCAATCTCCTTGTTGACTGCCGACGTGCCCGTCACCTCGACTGCACAACCGGTCTGTCTGTTCGTGGACTAACTCCCTTTACTGCCCCCACCAACTTATCTGTCCTGCATACAGATAATGCTAGCCCCTTTCGGCAAATGCTTCTTAGACACCCCAACATAATTAACCTCCAGTTTCGCGGTGGTGAAGTTCAACATGATGTTGTGCATCATATGCGCACCTCCGGTCCTCGCTTGCTTTCTCGGCCGAGACTACTAGCACCGGAGCGTTTTCAGGCCGCAAAGGCGGAGTTTGAACACATGCTGCAACTGGGAATAATTCGACCGTCTGAGAGCCCTTGGGCGTCCCCCTGTACATGGTGCCTAAGGCGATATCAGGTGACTGACGACCTTGTGGCGACTATCGTGCCCTCAACAGCGCTACCATTCCTGATCGGTACCCCCTGCCTCAGGGCTTTGCTGGAGCCCTTTTCGGCAAAGCGATTTTCTCGAAGATTGATCTGGTGCGTGCTTTTCATCAGATTCCAGTCGCCCCTGTGGACATACCTAAAACCGCCCTCGGTCTCTTTGAGTTCATCCACACGCCGTTAGGTCTTCGTAATGCCGCCCAAACGTTCCAGAGGTTCATCGACCATGTCTTACTTGGCGTACCCTTTGTGCTCGCCTACATTAATGACATCTTGGTGGCCAGCCGGAATGAGGAAGAACACAAAGAGCATCTGCCATGGTGTTTGACCGCCTTGACAAGTTTGGCGTTGTCGTCAACCCCTACAAGTGCGTGTTGGATGTGCCTTCGCTCGAGTTCCTCGGCCATCAGGTCGACTCTGAAGGTTTGCGTCCCCTCCCCTCCAGTGTTGAAGCAGTTCGTAATTTCCCTTCACCAACCCCCAAGCGTCAGTTGCAGTGATTCCTCGGCATGGTCAATTTTTACCGTCTGGTCCTACCGAACTGTGCTGACCTCATGCTTCCGCTCACCAACATGCTTTCTGGTCCCAAAGGCCCCCTCGAGTTGACTGGTGAAGCACTGACTGCTTTTGAGAGAATCAAGAATTCCTTTGTCAACGCCACCTTACTCACGCATCCCGCTCCCGAATCTCAGCTGTCCCCGATGGTAGATAATTCGACCGTAGCCTTAGGTGCAGTCCTTCAACAACACCTTGCTGGTTCGACTCGACCACTTACCTTTTTCTCCAAAAAGCTCTTACCAGCTGAGACACGCTACAGTACCTTTGGCCGTGAACTACTTGTCATTTGCCTGGCTGTCAAGCATTTCCGGCATTTCCTTGAAGGCTGGGACTTCACTGTTTTCACGGGCCACAAACCGTTGACTTTTACACTTCGGTCCCACTTCGCAAAGTACAATCCGAGGGAAATCGCCCACCTGGACTACATCTCCCAATTCACCACCGACATCCGCCACATTGATGGCACGAAGACCGAGGCGACTGATATGCTGTCCAGACCCTCACTGTCTTCCCTCCAAATCTCAAACGGAATCGATCTTTGTGCCATGGCGGCTGAGCAACAGCGAGTCGGTTGTCCTGGCGACGAGTCTGTTAGTGGTCTCCAACTCAAAGACGTTCCTCTGACTACCGGCTCTGGTACAATACTTCGTGACGTCCCCACTACTTTTCATCGGCCTTTCGTGCCCGCCTCGATGTGTCGAGCTGTATTTCAAACTTTGTATGGACTCTCCCACCCTGGGATCCGAACCTCTCAAAAGCTCCTCGCGGAAAGGTTTGTCTGGCCTGGCATGAACAAGGACGTCAAAGCTTGGGACCGGTTGTGTCTGAACTGCCAGCGCCACAACAAGTCCTCACCAGGCACTTTCCCCAGCCCCGACGCACGGTTCAGCCATGTGCACCTGGATGTCGTAGGCCCTTTGCCTCCATCCAATGGTTTCACTCACCTCCCTACCTGCGTCGATCAATATACCCGCTGGACTGAAGCCATTCCTTTACCGAATGCGCAAGCTGAAACCATCGTGAAGGCCTTCGTCAGTCGTTGGGTCGCAAATTTCGGTGGCCCATCCACGGTTACGACTGATCGTGACTAAGTCGGCACTGTTCCAAGCGCTACTTAATTTCCTTGACTGCACACGCATTCGGACGACAGTCTACCACCCAGCTGCCAATGGTATGGTTGAGCGTTTCCATCGCCAGCTAAAGACCGCCCTACGTGCGTACAAGACCGAGGAAACTGGTCGGACAACCTTCCTCTTGCATTCCTCGGCATCCGCGCAGCTCTAAAGTCGGATCTGGGCTGTAGTGCAGCTGAATTGGTTTTTGGCACTACCCTCCGACTGCCAGGCGAGATGGTCATCCCAACCTATCATGGAACCGACGAGACTCCTGACAACCGTATGCACCGTTTGTGGCAATTTATACGCTCGCTTTCCCCGGTTCCACCTTGAATTCCAATGACTGAGTCTTATGTTAAACAGAATTTTGTATTCCATTAAGACCATTGCTTATGCACCCGCCGATCCCATGGTGACTTATCCCTCCCTCCCAGGCAGCGTGGTTTCTGCCGACGCGAGCACTGACGTCACCAAGGACGGTCATTTTGTTCGCCTTCAATTCAGTCACCAGGAGGGCGAACTGGTCTTCATACGACTTATTCTGCATGTCCTCGGATCTGGTCAAGAGGAGATGTAAGCGCCGACAGTGGTTCCGAATTTGTTCCCCCCTCTCCCCCGGGGTGCAGCCTCACTGCCATTAGCCGGGCAGCAGTCCTAGGGCGTCATATCTGATTGCACAGGGAACTGCGCTATCTCATCACTCTCTGCTCTTAAAGAGAATGTGCATGCTTTGAGAAAAGTTCCTCTCATCGACAGCAAGGCTGATGCTGAAAGGTGCGGTTATGAGAGCAGTCAGGCGGTATGTTGCCATTATCTCAGCACTGTGTGCTGATGAGCTGGCAAGACGGTGTGAGAGGCAAGGGTGTCCATAGTAGTGCATTCTAATGAATGATGCGCCAGTCGACGCTGTAGATTAGTAAAGTTCTTACGAGTGAGACTTAGTCGATAGCCCGATCCAACCCTCAGGCTTACGAATCGTCTTAGACCGCGCCTAATTGTCGCGCCTAATGGTTCGTCGACTGTACCGTGGCCTAGTAGAAAGAAGAGGCAAAAGGCGAGGCGGATTGTGCTGTCAACTTCTTACATACAAAGTATTCGGGTGTGTCGCTGAGAGTAATAAATATCGATCTGCCCAAAAATACATAAGGCCATAATGGTTAAATGTTTGATAAAGCAACTTTCTAACGAACTTGCGTGTGGAAATGAAAGGAATGACAAAAGAATCATAATAGATTCATTACCAACGAAAGACGAAAGTTAGGACAGAATAAAGAGGTTCGAAAATTTTATATTCGAGGAAGGCAGGCAGAAAAACACGCCAAGTACCTGCAAATAAACTAGGAATGATGGTTACAATGGTACCAAGCGGAGGGCCATCAAGGGTAACGGATATCACTTCCGGCCTCGGTATCCGTGACAACTTTAGTTAGGCAGAAGAAAGACAAGAGTTTGATGACAAGTGTGGGGAAGTTGTGAAGATGAAACTACAAATGCGAATTAGAACCGCATCGGACATGTGAATTTGCAGACGATAGATAAAACTTTAGCACTATCAACATCAAGCTAGTTCCCGGTAAGTCGGAGAAGACTGTAGCAAACAGTTTGAGGGATCCATTCTGAGCAGGGTCCCGAGCCGCTTTCTCTAGCAACAAACACCCGTGGCTAGGCCAGGGCGTGTTGTGAGCGTTAAGTCTTAAAAAACTGATCTTGGACGCCGAATGAATTTATCTCGGCAGGCTAGGTCGACAAAGAGACCCTGGCAACCACTACCTTCAGGCCCGGTTTCGAAGGGACAGGGAAGGCTCTATTCTGCACAGATTAATTGGAGGCAGCTGGCAGCCGCAAGCGGGCACATGCGACGCCTGGTGGACGGCGTCCCGAATGTCCGAGGTAATGCGTCACAGCGTCTTAGGCCAGGACACGTCTGACTCGACCTTGAATCTGATTGGCCAGTTGGAGAGCCGAGTGGGCGAATGTCAGACTACCCTAGTGCTCACGTGCAGACAATCGTGAGAGATTGCGGCGTTGCGGCAGGTGCTCGGAGTAGAGCCACTACAATTGCATGGATTTCAGGAAGCAACATCAGGGGTCCTGTTATTAAGTAGTCTGTTGCATTAGGCGAGGTAAGGTCGACTGTATTGGCCTGGATACGTGTATCAGCTCTGCAATCCGTCAGTAAAATTGGAGAGACGTCAGTATGCAGGAAACTGCCACACAAATTCAGGACCAAAGCCAAGAAGTAGTGTTAAACCTCTATTCACTCAAACCGTACTGCCTCAATCCACAAGCCAAACCAGAGTCCACCCACTGCGTTCATATTCCTTTCAGAAAGAGAGGGTATCCTACCTGCGATACTCACTGGCAAAAGAGGCCAGTAGGGGGCAATATCCTCTTCACCGACAAAACCTCGGATGTTCAGGGAGCAAGCCCTCTTTCCTCTAAAACTACCGTTTTCTGCCTGAAGACGACGCAGGCGGGTTCATTTGATGTCGGCTTTGAAATGCCCATGAGGGGATGCATAGTCGGTCATCGAAACTACGCCTCCTATTCGATTCCCATCGAAAGCTCTAGAGTGCGACAATTAGGAAAAACAGTGCCTGTGTGCTTCATTGATAGAAGCACTTTTGCCCAGACGGCGGTCATAACCTTAGGTGACTTAGAACTAAAGGCTTCCCCGAAGCGAAAATCTGCAAAAAACTTTGTAGCAGTACATCACGGATGAGCTTCGTTGTTAAACCTAGGTTTTCCCAGTATAGGCTCGTGAAACGTGCTCACGCAGGAAAAGTAGAATTTAGCAAGGGAATAGTGGTGTGAATCGATCTGTGATATAGACCAAGTTCCTAGTGGCTAATTCTATGTGTTATCATACGTTTCATTGTCCATACTTACAGTGAGTGACCGATCTCGTGAAATGTTGGCTGAACTTCTGAAATGCGTTTTCGACTAGGAAGGATTACTTGGTCGATTAACTTGCGGCATAATCCTATAACATTTCGGACTTGGCGGGATGTCAGCTTGTGAATACAGTGCTTTTCAATCTCTTGTAGAAACCGTAATCGGTACAAAATGACCACTTAAGTAGCATGCATTTTTCCCATTGATTTTCAATGGTCTTGCATATTCAAATATATTTAATAGAAACCATAAACAAAAATATGATTTCTTTTAGTCAATAAATAGAGAATCACGTCTTCTTTATATTTTATACTTAAGGAAGGAGTATAATAAGGATTTAAAAAAGTTTTATAATTGCCGAAGAATTTGGAGCCTGATCTTTCGTTGCATTAGCGCTTAGTGATTTCACTCTACAAGGTGCACGCGTTCCGCGTAAAGAAAATCACATATTTTTCTATACCATGAAAGAGGTAGCATACAGAGTCCATAAAATTTTACAATGGATGCGGACTATGCTGTACATTTCATGAGGAGCAGTGGTAAACGGCCATGTACGATGCTATGTGAATGGACATTGCGCGGTCTTAAAAAGTCTCATAATTAGAAACTTTTTTAAAACCTAATTATACTCCTTCCTTGAGTATGAAATATAAAGAAGAGGTGATTCTCTATTGATTGACTAAAAGAAAGCGTATTTTGTTTATGGTTTCTATTAGATATATTTGAATATGCAAGACCATTGAAAATCAATGGGAAAAATGCATGCTACTTAAGTGGTCATTTTGTACCGATTACGGTTTCTAAAGGAGATTGAAAAGCAGTGTATTCAAAAACTGACATCCTGCCGAGTCCGCAATGTTATAAGAGTATGCCTTAAGATAATGAGTATCACAACCGCGACCAAGTAATCCTTCCTAATGGAAAACGCATTTCAGAATTTCAGCCAACATTTCACGAGATCGGTCACTCACTGTAGACAGCGTTCTGTGCTATCACTATATGTCTGCTGGTAGAATAAACCAAAAAGTCTCATCGCACAGGAAACAATGATCGGACGAAACATTGAAACTGACGGTCACTTCATACCTTCCCGCAAAGAACTTCGTCTTCACATCGGAAGTAAATGCGGAGGTGTCGACTAAGCATGGTAGAGATAGCGCCATCGAAAAAGAGGGGGACGACTCTTGTGATGACCCAAGTGAACAAAATTTCAAGAACCGGTTCTCTCTTTCCACTTGCTTGTGAAATCTGCCAGCATTTCAAAAGAAAACTGTCATTTTGTCGGTTCAATGACTGCTAAAACATTCACAAAGATCTGTGCGTACTACAACGAAATGACTGCAAAAAATATAGGACCAGTTATTTCGGCTCCAGCTCTGTTCTGCAACTCAGTAAAGGTCTTGCCTGTCGTTTGCTTGTCGTTTATCCTGGTAAATCTAGTCTTCTCAACAGATGCCCTAACACTGCAGTCGCATCGACAACACAATTTCTCTCCTACTTATAACGGTAAACTAGCCCGCCATTTGAGGTTCTAACGGATGGCATGTCATAAGGCCACCTTTGAAGTCGACATCACTTTCACTGATACGATTTTCGATGTATATTTTAACGACTGACACAATGAACAACCAATCGGCTTTTAACTGGCATCTTACATCAACTGATGACTCTATCAATCAACAATCCTCTCGTTATATGAACGATTTGCAGCCAATTGCCAAGGTCTTTTTGTATGCCGCTTCACAGAATCTGTGCAAAATGAGCTACAACGTCCAGTTTTGTGTATTTTGCAGCTGCCCACAAGCAGTAGATCAGGTCTCGGTAAGTCGAAAAAGACGGGAGACACCAGAATTAGGGATGTATTCTGTGCAGAAGCGTTAGCTGTTGCCTCTGGCGCAAAGGGACCGCTGGTGTAGTCAGAGCAATTACTGAAACACTAAGTCATCCCTGAGGCGGAGTTAGTCTACGATGTCGGTTTATGACACTTGTTGCGATCGCCTAGACACGCGCGTTTGTTCATGTCGGATTCTAATGACTACGCACCGGAAACGTCCGCAGGGTGCTTTCAGGACTTTGGACCG